AGATCGTTCGTGAAACAAAATGTGAAAAGAAAAAGTTTAGTATGGGAGGGAGGGAGGAAAAAAGGAAGAAAAAAAGTGAAAGTACTTCCAATTGACAAAAAACTGAGAAGCTATTTGCTGAAAATAATGTATATAGTAATATCTTTGTCTTGACTGATACGTATAGTATTTATGGAGGAAAAAGAAATACGTACTGTGAAGATATATGTGACTAAATGTAAATTAAAAAGAAAAAATAAAAAGATGGAAACCAGCAGTTGGCGTAATGGCTATGTCGCTGGACTCCCACGTAGTCGACCGCGGTTTGAGTCCCGGACCTGGTGGCTTAAACTCCGCTTAAACTCCCACCGGGCACGTGTGCGTGCGTGCCCAAGATCCCGAGAGGAGAATGGAGGAGAAGGGATTTTGGTGTGGCCATCCCCCCTGGGAGGTGATTTCTCGCTTTCTGTCTCTCTGTCTTTCTCTGTCTGTCTGGCGAGCGCACGCGCCCTATAGCAAAAAAACCTCTCCAAAAAAAAAGAAGAAGAAAAGAAAAAAAAAAATTGGGGCTTGCTTCATAGATTGGTACTATTTGTTCTCCTGGCCGAAAATGGCCCTAAGTGCTCATTTTCGGAACACACACCTGTGTGTCAAAGTAGGCAGGACTTTAGATGTTTGTAGATGTCATGTGTGTGCAGGGGGCTGATTGAGGGTTTCAGCTGTGTGTGTAATCTTCGGTTTCTTCATTTGTGTGAAGAGAATGTGGCTGTTGTTGTCTTAGAATTTATACCTTTTTTTTCCTGGTTAATATTTTACAAAACAGAAGTGAAAGATATACACCTCCTTTTCTGTGCCGGGCACTGTGCTGGGTGCTTTATGGGGGGCTGTTTCAAGGCCTTGCCCTCAGGTGTCTCCCAATCTGGGGCAGAGGGCAGAGAAGGCAGCTTTTACCAGGGGGCTGGGTGGGCCAAGTGATGGAGACAGGCCCACTTGCAGGAAGGTGGTAAGAGGGAGCCGGACATCTGGGCTCGAATATCAGCACCGTGGCTTACTAGGTAACTTACGGGGTCTTTGAACTTCGGTTTCTTCAGCTGTGCCCAGCAGATGACGTAATGGTCATATCACTGGACTCCCACATAGCCGCGGTTCAAGTCCTGGACTTGGTGACTTAAAGCTCACGCCAGGCACATGTGTGTGCATGCTCAAAATCCTGAGAAGAGAAGGAAGAAGGGATTTGGCATGGCCATCCCCTATTGGGGGTGATTGCTCACTTTCTGTCTCTCTGTTTCTCTTTGTCTTTCCGGCAAGCACATGTGTGCCCTGCAACCCCCACCTTCCCTGATTATTGTGAGGTTGAGAAGACACAGAACAGAAGCTTAAAAAAAGAGTAGTTGTTATTTTATTTATTTATTTTTTTTAGAGGTTTTTGCTATAGGGCACATGCACTTGCCAGACAGACAGAGAGAGACAGAGAGATAGAAAGTGAGAAATCACCTTCCAGGGAAGATGGTCACGCCGCAATCCCTTCTCCTTCATTCTCCTCTCGGGATCTTGGGCACGCACACACACGCGCCCTGCGTGAGTTTTAAGCCACCGGGTCCAGGACGCAAATCACGGTCAACTACATGGGAGTCCAGCAACATAGCCATTACGCTATGCTGGTCCCAGTTGTTACTTTTTTATTTTTGCTATAGGGTGCATGTGCTCACTGGAGAGACAGAGAGAGACAGAGAGACAGAAAGCAGAAAATCACCCCCGCATGGGGGGGATGGCCACACCAGAATCCCTTTTCCTCCATTCTCCTTTAGGGATTTTGGGCACGCACATGCATACGGTGTGAGTTTCAAGCTGACAGATCCGGGACTTGAACCACAGCTGACTACATGGGAGTCCAACAACATAACCATTATGCCATCTGTTGGTCCCAGTAGTTGTTACTTTATTTATTTTATTTATTTTTATTTTTATTTTTTTGCTATAGGGCGTGTGCACTCGCTAGAAAGACAGAGAGAGACAGAGAGACAGAAAGCGAGAAATCACCACCCAGGGGGGATGGCCACATTGCAATCCCTTTTTCTCCATTCTCCTGTCGGGATCTTGGGCACACACGCACATGCACCCGGTGTGAGTTTAAGCTACCAGGTCCGGGACTCGAACCGCAGTCAGCTACATGGGAGTCCAGCGACATAGCCATTACGCTAACTGCTAACTGCTGGTCCCAGTTGTTATATTAAACAATAGGGTGAATAGGTCAGATCCAGATTCATCTCCCAAGCTTATGTTTACCTTTTTTTTTTTTTTTTTTAATTTACCAGAGTGTGTGTGCACTCACCAGAGAGAGAGAGAGAGAGAGAGAGAGGGAGGGAGAGAGAAAGCACCCTCAATGGGGCTTGGTCACAACATAATCCCTTCCAAAATAATGTATATAGTAATATCTTTGTCTTGACTGATACGTATAGTATTTATGGAGGAAAAAGAAATACGTACTGTGAAGATATATGTGACTAAATGTAAATTAAAAAGAAAAAATAAAAAGATGGAAACCAGCAGTTGGCGTAATGGCTATGTCGCTGGACTCCCACGTAGTCGACCGCGGTTTGAGTCCCGGACCTGGTGGCTTAAACTCCGCTTAAACTCCCACCGGGCACGTGTGCGTGCGTGCCCAAGATCCCGAGAGGAGAATGGAGGAGAAGGGATTTTGGTGTGGCCATCCCCCCTGGGAGGTGATTTCTCGCTTTCTGTCTCTCTGTCTTTCTCTGTCTGTCTGGCGAGCGCACGCGCCCTATAGCAAAAAAACCTCTCCAAAAAAAAAGAAGAAGAAAAGAAAAAAAAAAATTGGGGCTTGCTTCATAGATTGGTACTATTTGTTCTCCTGGCCGAAAATGGCCCTAAGTGCTCATTTTCGGAACACACACCTGTGTGTCAAAGTAGGCAGGACTTTAGATGTTTGTAGATGTCATGTGTGTGCAGGGGGCTGATTGAGGGTTTCAGCTGTGTGTGTAATCTTCGGTTTCTTCATTTGTGTGAAGAGAATGTGGCTGTTGTTGTCTTAGAATTTATACCTTTTTTTTCCTGGTTAATATTTTACAAAACAGAAGTGAAAGATATACACCTCCTTTTCTGTGCCGGGCACTGTGCTGGGTGCTTTATGGGGGGCTGTTTCAAGGCCTTGCCCTCAGGTGTCTCCCAATCTGGGGCAGAGGGCAGAGAAGGCAGCTTTTACCAGGGGGCTGGGTGGGCCAAGTGATGGAGACAGGCCCACTTGCAGGAAGGTGGTAAGAGGGAGCCGGACATCTGGGCTCGAATATCAGCACCGTGGCTTACTAGGTAACTTACGGGGTCTTTGAACTTCGGTTTCTTCAGCTGTGCCCAGCAGATGACGTAATGGTCATATCACTGGACTCCCACATAGCCGCGGTTCAAGTCCTGGACTTGGTGACTTAAAGCTCACGCCAGGCACATGTGTGTGCATGCTCAAAATCCTGAGAAGAGAAGGAAGAAGGGATTTGGCATGGCCATCCCCTATTGGGGGTGATTGCTCACTTTCTGTCTCTCTGTTTCTCTTTGTCTTTCCGGCAAGCACATGTGTGCCCTGCAACCCCCACCTTCCCTGATTATTGTGAGGTTGAGAAGACACAGAACAGAAGCTTAAAAAAAGAGTAGTTGTTATTTTATTTATTTATTTTTTTTAGAGGTTTTTGCTATAGGGCACATGCACTTGCCAGACAGACAGAGAGAGACAGAGAGATAGAAAGTGAGAAATCACCTTCCAGGGAAGATGGTCACGCCGCAATCCCTTCTCCTTCATTCTCCTCTCGGGATCTTGGGCACGCACACACACGCGCCCTGCGTGAGTTTTAAGCCACCGGGTCCAGGACGCAAATCACGGTCAACTACATGGGAGTCCAGCAACATAGCCATTACGCTATGCTGGTCCCAGTTGTTACTTTTTTATTTTTGCTATAGGGTGCATGTGCTCACTGGAGAGACAGAGAGAGACAGAGAGACAGAAAGCAGAAAATCACCCCCGCATGGGGGGGATGGCCACACCAGAATCCCTTTTCCTCCATTCTCCTTTAGGGATTTTGGGCACGCACATGCATACGGTGTGAGTTTCAAGCTGACAGATCCGGGACTTGAACCACAGCTGACTACATGGGAGTCCAACAACATAACCATTATGCCATCTGTTGGTCCCAGTAGTTGTTACTTTATTTATTTTATTTATTTTTATTTTTATTTTTTTGCTATAGGGCGTGTGCACTCGCTAGAAAGACAGAGAGAGACAGAGAGACAGAAAGCGAGAAATCACCACCCAGGGGGGATGGCCACATTGCAATCCCTTTTTCTCCATTCTCCTGTCGGGATCTTGGGCACACACGCACATGCACCCGGTGTGAGTTTAAGCTACCAGGTCCGGGACTCGAACCGCAGTCAGCTACATGGGAGTCCAGCGACATAGCCATTACGCTAACTGCTAACTGCTGGTCCCAGTTGTTATATTAAACAATAGGGTGAATAGGTCAGATCCAGATTCATCTCCCACCTTTATGTTTACCTTTTTTTTTTTTTTTTTTAATTTACCAGAGTGTGTGTGCACTCACCAGAGAGAGAGAGAGAGAGAGAGAGAGGGAGGGAGAGAGAAAGCACCCTCAATGGGGCTTGGTCACAACATAATCCCTTCCCCCTTTCTCCATCCTGTCGGGATTTGGGGCATGTATGCACATGCACCCAGTGTGTTTTCAAGGCCCTGGGTTTGGGATTTGAACCCTTTGGTCAACCACGCGGGAATCTGGCTCACTAGCCACTAGGCTGGCCCATCTCGTTTCTTTTTTCTTTTTTCTTACTATGGAAACTTCTGGAAACCAGCAGAAATAGAATAGCATTATCACTCCCCATGTACTCATCACCCAGCCTCAAGGTTTTCCAGCAGGGGGCCAATCTTATTCTATTAACCCCGTGCCCCGTTGTTTAAGCAAATCCCAGCCGTGGTACCATTTTGTCTGCCTTCCCCTGGACAGACTGTGATTGGGCTGCAGAACATCACCGCCTCCAGTCGCTACCTGCGAGTCATCCCACCCTCGACTCCGCACTTCGCTCTGGGATTGGGTGAGAACAGTAGAGGAGTCGTCTACACTGCCTCAGTTTTCCCCGGGTTTGCTGCCAGTTCCTGTCCTGCCTGGCCTTCAGCCACTCCCACCCTGTGTCCTGAGCTGAGGCCCACATCTCTCTCAGCGTCACCGGGGGTCCCTCCCACTCCCAGTGAGGTCTCAGTGTCCTGATGGCCACCCTGTCCTGACAACCCCTCTCTGGGCACTGGTTCTGCCCTGTCCCCTGCCTTTCGTGCTGACGCTGCCCTCAGTCAGGCCCTCCTCATGCCAGCCGGTCCTCCTGCGTTCATGTCAGAGTGTTTGTCTCAGGCATGTATGTGATCATGTCACCCCCCACTCAGGAATCTCGGCAGGCTCTCTGCTACCCAGGAACTGAAGCCCACACCATAGGGCCAGGCCTGAGACCATCTAAGCGTTCCAGGCAGGCCGTGTTGCTGCCCCTCAGGCCCTGGCATGCTCACCTGGAGTCCCTGTCCCCGCGTGCCTACACCCCTCGCATGCCCTGATGCGTCTCCATCAGCCCGGCCTTACCCAGGAAGGCTTTGACTCACAGAGTCAGCCCCAGCTATGCAGCAGCTGAGCCCAAACCCTGGTATCTGGCCGGTCCCCGGAGTCCTCATTGGTCACTTTTGTCATGCACAGGGATGTTCCCAGGGAAAGGTGGAATGGTGGCTCCTGGGATGACCTGCCAGTACATTGTCCAGTTTCTCCCCGACTGCCTTGGGGACTTCGACGATTTCCTCCTGGTCGAGACCCAGTCGGCCCACACGCTCATGGTCCCCTTGCAGGCCCGGAGGCCGCCCCCGGTGCTGACATGTGAGTGTGTGCTCCACCTGCGGGGGTTCAGCTAGGGCTGGCGAGGCCCCCCGAGGACGGCCTGCCTCTCGGGCTGCGTGTGGCAGCACACAGAGCTCAGCAGGGCAGGGCCTCCTGGGTGCTGAGGATGAGCCTGTTAGCAGCTTCTGCAGCTTCCACAGTGTCAGGCCCTGAGGCCCTGCTTGCTTTGGGATATCCCCAGTGGAGGGAGACTTCGGCAGGAGGGGAGGCCATCAGTGTAGGTCCTGCTGGCCTGTGGGCACCCCGAGAAGCCCTCTGTGACATCAAGTCTGGGACTGTGGGGGTGGCCTACTTGGAAAAGCTGTCTGGGTGTCTCGGTTACGAACTTCTTTTTTTTTTTTTTTTTTTGGAGAGGTTTTCGCTATAGGGCGCGTGTGCGCGCCAGACAGAGACATAGTGACAGAAAGCAAGAAATCACCCCCCAGGGGGGATGGTCACGCCGCAATCCCTTCTCCTCCATTCTCCTCTCAGGATCTTGGGCACGCACGCACATGCGCCCGGCGTGAGTTTTAAGCCACTGGGTCCGGGACTCAAACCGCGGTCGAATACATGGGAGTCCAGCACATAGCCATTACGCTAACTGCTGGTTCCCAGGTTATGAACTTCTTCAACTGGCACAGGCCAGAAGTTGGCCTCTGACCCTCCCTCACTGCTGCCACCACCCCCAGGGCCACGCGGGGTAGCTGTTGCTCAGGCATGAGTCCCGAGGGGACACTGACTCGCGACTCTAACCAGAGTGGATAGAGTCCTATGGCGCTGCGTCCATGTGGCCAGAAGCAGCTTGGCTGGACCCCGAGGGGGTCCAGGGGTCACGGCGTGTTCTCATCCATCCTCCCTGCTCAGGGTGCTGGGCTGGGGCCCCCAGTCCCTTCCATAGTGACCTCAGGAGAGCAACGACAGCAGGACCAGTCCAGAGTGATGCATCGTCTCTCTCACTCTCTTCTCCTGGGCTCCAGTGCCTCCCGTGTTGGACTGTGGCCACTGCCTCATCGGGGGAATAAAGGTGACCACTTTCATCTGCAAAAATGTGGGCCTCAGTGTCGGCAGGTTCTGCATCATGCCCAAAAAGAGCTGGCCACCGCTGAGTTTCAGGGTAAGTGATTGCAGATGCTCCCTGGCCACCGCTGAGTTTCAGGGTAAGTGATTGCAGATGCTCCCTGGAAACAGCAAATCCGTGGGTGGAAAGCAGCCCCCTGGAGCGGCTGGCCAGAGTGTGCCTAAGATGGGAAACATGCAGAAAGCAGAACGGTATAAGTCCCCAGTCAACCACCGCAACCCAGGGGAGAGCAAATGCGTGCAGAGACCAGCACTGCGGTTCTGGTCCTGGCGCTAATACCTGCACGAGCCTGGGCGAGCCGAAGCCCCTCCCTTGTCCTCTAAGGATGTGTGTGCACGTGTGTGCGTGCGTGTCCAAGATCCTGAGAGGAGAATGGAGGAGAAGGGATTGCGGCATGGTCATTCCCCCTTGGGGGGGGATTTCCTGCTCTCTGTCTCTCTGTCTGTCTCTGTCTTTCTGGCAAGCACACACACCTTGTAGCAAAAACCTCTCCAAAAAATAAAAATAAAAAGGCAGGGTTTCACATACAAATGTGTGCTGGCAGTCTCTGAAAAATGGAAAGCTATGCACCCCCAGCCAGGGTGCACCGTGAGCCTGGTGGCTGGGCAGGAGGCAGGGCCCATGCACTCTGCCCCACTCGCCTGGCTCCACTGCTCCCCAGAGCAGCCCAGCACTGGCACCACCCTGCTCTCGCCATTACGTCCCTCATCACAGAGCTATCTCTCTGTACCCGTTTGTCCAGAAAACATGTGCTAGGTCAACAGGACTACACGTTCCAGGATCACGTTTCACTCGTTTCTGTGAGCCCCCTGCCAGGGGCTTGTAGGCATGGGATGTGTCCCTGGCATGCAGAGTGGCTTTCTGCGTCGGCACTGGGGCTGCAGCTCAGCTAAGAAGCTGGTGGCCATCCTCATGACGCAAGAGCTGACAGCAGAGGCTGGGCTGGGGCTGGAGGGAGATGCATACAGCGTCCCTTGCAGCAGGGAAAGGACAGTGTTTTGAGGGCCCAGGGAAAGGCCTTCTCAGCTCACCTCCTTGGAGGGGCCTTCTCCCATGCCTCCCTCCTTGTACCCTAAGAACCTGGCAGTGTATTTCGTGTACCTCCTGCCAGCAGTTGGCTCTTTATGGACGCCCTAGGACTGACTTGCTTCACCTTCAGAACCGCACTGGGTGCCTGGTGAAAGCTGAATGAATGCTTGCTGAATGAAGGAGCCTCCGTTTCTTCATTAACGTAGACGGAATGCGCGTGTGGGAAAACCAGCCCCCTGGAGCGGCTGGCCAGAGTGTGCCTAAGATGGGAAACATGCAGAAAGCAGAACGGTATAAGTCCCCAGTCAACCACCGCAACCCAGGGGAGAGCAAATGCGTGCAGAGACCAGCACTGCGGTTCTGGTCCTGGCGCTAATACCTGCACGAGCCTGGGCGAGCCGAAGCCCCTCCCTTGTCCTCTAAGGATGTGTGTGCACGTGTGTGCGTGCGTGTCCAAGATCCTGAGAGGAGAATGGAGGAGAAGGGATTGCGGCATGGTCATTCCCCCTTGGGGGGTGATTTCCTGCTCTCTGTCTCTCTGTCTGTCTCTGTCTTTCTGGCAAGCACACACACCTTGTAGCAAAAACCTCTCCAAAAAATAAAAATAAAAAGGCAGGGTTTCACATACAAATGTGTGCTGGCAGTCTCTGAAAAATGGAAAGCTATGCACCCCCAGCCAGGGTGCACCGTGAGCCTGGTGGCTGGGCAGGAGGCAGGGCCCATGCACTCTGCCCCACTCGCCTGGCTCCACTGCTCCCCAGAGCAGCCCAGCACTGGCACCACCCTGCTCTCGCCATTACGTCCCTCATCACAGAGCTATCTCTCTGTACCCGTTTGTCCAGAAAACATGTGCTAGGTCAACAGGACTACACGTTCCAGGATCACGTTTCACTCGTTTCTGTGAGCCCCCTGCCAGGGGCTTGTAGGCATGGGATGTGTCCCTGGCATGCAGAGTGGCTTTCTGCGTCGGCACTGGGGCTGCAGCTCAGCTAAGAAGCTGGTGGCCATCCTCATGACGCAAGAGCTGACAGCAGAGGCTGGGCTGGGGCTGGAGGGAGATGCATACAGCGTCCCTTGCAGCAGGGAAAGGACAGTGTTTTGAGGGCCCAGGGAAAGGCCTTCTCAGCTCACCTCCTTGGAGGGGCCTTCTCCCATGCCTCCCTCCTTGTACCCTAAGAACCTGGCAGTGTATTTCGTGTACCTCCTGCCAGCAGTTGGCTCTTTATGGACGCCCTAGGACTGACTTGCTTCACCTTCAGAACCGCACTGGGTGCCTGGTGAAAGCTGAATGAATGCTTGCTGAATGAAGGAGCCTCCGTTTCTTCATTAACGTAGACGGAATGCGTGATCCTTCAGTCACGGGAGTGCAGGCTGAGTGCTGGCAGGAGCGAAGTATGTCCTCTGAGCTCTGGCTTGCACAGTCTCTTCCCGACCATCGCGTGATCTTCTGCTTCTCTTTAAGGCTGTGGCAACCGTCGGCTTTGTTGAGCAACCTCCCTTTGGAATCATGCCGTCGGTGTTCGAGCTGGCTCCAGGGCTTGCCACGTTAGTGGAGGTAGGTAATTCGCTGTGGGCGTCTCCCTTACCTCCTGGGGGGTCTGTCACGGTCTTTTCTCAGCTGCTTGTGTGACGGCACCTGCCTCTGTGTTTCCATGAGCTAAGTGCCCGCTCCTGCCCCAGATCCCAGCCTTCGTGGTTCTGGGGAGCTGCGCGTTCTTGCACCGTGTAGGGCGGGAATGCTGAGCTCTCACGCAGAGCAAATGTCAACAGCCCTAGAACTTCTGCCCCAACATCGCCTGTCCACACCATTAGCCAGGGGTTGACCAAGGTCTTCCCTCAGTGTTCAGTCTCTCTTGGGCCCTTCCTCCCTCACCCAACGCCATCTGGTGTCAAGATCACAGAAGTGGATTCGTTTTAGCTCACCCTGTCCCATCAGTTCACACGGTCAGCAAAGGCCACTTTCTGGAAGCCACATTCTGAAGCCCTGCAGAAGCTCCCAGAGGTCTGGCCCCTGGCTGTAGGCTCCTCCTTTTCTCTTGGGTGCCTTCGACTGTCCCCTTTAGCTCCTCATGCTGCTCAGTGGTCCCCAGAAGTGACTGAGAATGCTGGTGCTTCTCGCCCCTATCGCTCCGCACCGCCACCCTCCCTGGCTCCCAGCTGTCCCTGACTGGGGGTGGGGACTGTGCAGACGTGCTCAGCCTTCCTCCCTGGCCCGTTGAGGAAAGCACTCATTCAGGAATGAAAACTGTTTGGTCTCCGAGGCTGGCTTTGGCCTGCTCCATGACAGCAGGCAGTGAGGGGCAGGAGCCAGCGATTCTCAAAGACCTGTGCATGTTGCAGTCACCTCTGAAACCAGGAAGCGCATGTGCGCTGAGCCCACCTTGAAGTTAGGAGTTCATGCGTCTGGGGTGTGGCGCGAGTTCCCCAGGTGGTACCCCACGTCTGACAGCTGCCGCCGAAAGCATCTTTGCCGTGAGATCAGGAAGGCTTCCTTCCGCTGGCTGCTTCGAGTCTTGTTCTGGAGCCCTAGGGTGTGGCTCTCTTGTTCATGTCTGTGCCGATATTTAAAATAAATGTAATTTTTTTCTCTGGAAAATAAAAGAAGACAGAGAACTGGTCAATGGGTCTGTAAAGAAACGCTCAACATCATTAATCGTCAGGGAAATGTCAGTTAAAACCACAATGAGATGTCACCAGATTCCTACTAGACTGTCTTATCAAAACAACCAATGATCTCAAGTGTTGGCAAGCCTTTCAAAAGGAAGCCCGGGAACATTTTTGGTGGGAATATAAATCAGTATAGCCATTATATAAAGCAATAGGGAGGGACCAGCAGACATTGTAATGGTTACATTGCTGGACTCCCACATGACTGACCGCAGTTCGAGTCCCAGACCCAGAGATTTGAAACTCATGTGGGGCATGTGTGTGTGTGTGTGTGTGTGTGTGTGTGTGTGCCCAAAAATTCCAAGAGGGGAATGGAGGAGAAGGGATTGTGGCATGGCCATCCCCTCTTAGGGGACGATATCGCATTTTCTCTCTGTCTCTCCAGTGAGTGTACATGCCTTCTAGCCAAAAAAAAAAAAAAAAAACTCTGTCTCTCAAAAAATAAAAAATAAAAAGCAATTTGGAAGTTCCTTAAAGAATTAAAAATAGAACTATTGCATGATTCAGCAATCCCCCTACTGGGTATATATCCAAAGGAAGTGAATCTGTATGTCAAAAAGATATCTGTACTTCCGGGACCAGCAGTTAGCATAATGGCTATGTCGCTGAACTCCCATGTAGACTACCGCGGTTCGAGTACCGGACCCGGTCGCTTAAACTCACACTGGGCACGTGTGCATGCGTGTCCAAGATCCCGAGAGGAGAATGGAGGAGAAGGGATTGTGGTGTGGCCATCTCCCTGGGGGGTGATTTCTTGCTTTCTCTCTCTGTCTCTCTGTCTTTCTGGCAAGCACACGCACCCTGTGGCAAAAACCTCTCAAAAAAAAAAAAAAGTTATCTGTACGTCCATGTTCATTATGCCTTATTCACAAGAACAAAGATATGGGACCAACCTAAATGTCCACTAATGGGTGGGTGAAGAAAACGTGGGGTGTATACACAATGGGATATTAGTCAGCCTTACAGAAGAAGGAAATTCTGTCCTTTGCAACAACAAGGATGAACCTAAAGGACAATCTGTCAAACGGAATAAACCAGGCGCAGAAAGACCATATGGTCCACTTACATGTGGAATCTTTAAAAGTCACACTCATAGAAGCACAGAGTAGAATCATGGTCAGTGGGCTGGCAGTGGGGGAAAATAGAAAAAAACTTCATTGCATTTTTTTTTTTTTTTGAGAGGTTTTCACTATAGGGCGCGTGCGCTCACCAGACAGACAGAGACATAGAGACAGAAAGCGAGAAATCACGCTGCAATCCCTTCTCCTCCATTCTCCTCTCGGGATCTTGGGCACGCACGCACACGCGCCCGGCGTGAGTTTCAAGCCACCGAGTCCGGGACTCGAACCACGGTCGACTACGTGGGAGTCCAGCAACATAACCTCTACACCGTCTGCTGGTCCCATCATTTACATTTAAAAAAAAAAAAAAAAAAAGAAGAAGAATTTATTTAATTAATTACATTTGTTGTTATTATTTTTTAGTTTGACCAGAAAGAGAGAAAGGGAAAGCAAGTCCAGGGCTAGAACTGCAGTTGGCCATGTGAGAGTCTAGTGCCTTAACCACCATGCCACCTGCCAGCCTTTATCATTCACATTTTTTAAATTGTGCACGAGGCTCCTTGCTATTTGTTTGTGAGCCATCTGTAGAGGGGTCTCTGTGCAATTTCTCTCCATTTCCTTCCATCCTGCTCTCCCAGGTCTTGTTCCTGCCGACGAGCCTAGGACAGGCCAGGCAGACCTTCGTCATCGTGTGCGACAACTGCCAGATAAAGGAGTTGGCGATCGTAGGTAGGTTTGCGGTCCTCCCAGGGGCAGGCCTGCAGTGCATGCCTCGGCTCAGTCACTGCAGGGTGTGGACAGCGGCACGGCTGCACCCTCTCTGTGTTTCTGAGGGCACGCTCTGGCCTCCAGGTACCAAGGTCTCCTTCTGGGCCCTTCACTCTGGCCAGACCTTGGGGACTGCCACTGTGGGCTCTGAGACAGCCTTCTAGTGACAGCCACATGGGAACCTTAGGTGAACGCTCACTGTTTCACTCTGAAACGCCCTTTGCTGTCGTCTGGGGAATTGCCAATGATGTCACCTCTAGGTTTCCAGGCAGGAGGCACGTCCTGTCGAAGGGCCCCAAGATGGCGCCCTGAGTCTTCCTTCCTCTCCGCCCCACAATCCTCCTTGCGTCTCACTCAGCGGGCCTTCGCTGAGGTTGTCAAAATCACCATTTGGTTCGTGAATCTGTGTAACAGCCCCCCTCCCATTCCTTCCCACAACTCCAGGAACTGTGGTCAAGACTAGCTGCAGGGGGGAACCAGCAGTTAGCGTAATGGCTATGTCGCTGGACTCCCACGTAGTCG